ATGGTCACATGATCAGAATTCAGACACTTGACACCTGACTCATATTTATGAGAGTTGTCAGTGTCCTGGGGTCATGGGATCACGTATTGTAATCTTCTGACAAGCAAAGTCAATGGGAGAACCCAGATCCATATCATAACCTTGTCACTAACTACAGTGATTCACTTAACAACTGGACAAGGGAAGTCATAAAATGGGGCAAAACTCAAATGTCTCACTTAGCAACATAAAATTTGGGCTCAATTGTGGTTGTAAGTTGAGAAATACCTGTATATTTAAACAGATAACAGATAATCAGAGTTGGAAGGGACCTTGTAGGTAATCTAGTCCAACCCCCCGCCCAAGTTCTGACAAATGACAGTCCAATCTCTTCTTGAAAGTCTCAAGTGATGGCGCTCCCACAACTTCCGAGGGCAAGCTGTTCCATTGGTAGATTGTTCTCACTGTCAGAAAGTTTCTCCTTATTTCCAGGTTAAATCTCTCCTTGTTCAGTTTCCATCCATTATTCCTCGTCTGGCCTACAGGTGCTTTAGAAAATAGCTTGACCCGTTCCTCTCTGTGGCAGCCCCTCAAATATTGGAAGACCGCTATCATGTCTCCCCTGGTCCATCTGTTTACTAGACTAGCCAAGCCCAGTTCCTGCAACCGTTCATTGTATGTTTTAGCCTCCAGTCCCCTAATCATCCTGGTTGCTCTTCTCTGTACTTTTTCTAGAGTTTCAACATCTTTTTTATAATGTGGTGACCAAAATTGGATACAGTACTCTAGGTGTGGTCTTACTTTGGCTTTATAGAGTGGTATTAGTACCTCCCTTGATCTTGATTGTATCCCTCTGTTAATGCAACTTAGGATTTCATTAGCTTTTTTGGCGGCGGCTGCACATTGCTGGCTCATATTTAGCTGGTTGTCCACTAAGACTCCAAGATCCCTCTCACAGTTACTGCTATTGAGCCTGGTTTCACCCAGTCTATATGTGTACTTTTGGTTTTTCTTGCCTAAGTGTAGGACTTTACTTTACTATTTTGTTTTCTATATTACAAAAAAATAACAAATCTAGGTAACATTTGACATATAAATGACAGAATACACAAAATTTAAATCTCCTATATTTTATCAGTTCCTCTCTGATCATATGAGCTCCTTTAGTAACTTGTCTTTATATTCTGAAGCCCCAGTATCCATTTCAGCCCCCCCCTTTTTTTTCCCTTCTTTCTTTGAAACAAGAATTGTCTAAATTTAAAAGAAAAAGCAAATGTCTTCATTTGTTTTCTCTTCTGAGATAGAAACATGATCAGGAAGAGTGAAGTGTACTGAGGCCTTTCCAAGATCACAAAAATGCACAAAGAACATCACTTGAACTAGACCTTGAGTGATTTATGTATGTGTAACAATGTGTTACTCCTAAAGCAGTGATGAAATGCTACCGGTTCAGCCCAGTTCAACCAAACAAGTAGCAAAAAAAACACTGATGATCAGCTGAAAGGAGAAAGAAGGGAAAAGCACAGGATCGGCTCTCCCTGCACTTTTCTCTTCTTTATCCTCTCAGCTGATTAGTGTGGCAGAGCCTCAGCTGGTGTTTGGAAAGCTGCACACTTCTTAGGTGCACACGCACACACACACAAAACATGCGATCACCGAACCAGTAGGGAGACTGGTAGAATCCTACCACTGTCCTAAAGTTAATTATTTCTACACTAAAATTTCTGAAATCCATTCCCTAAATACTATATAGCGGCTTCCACAGTACCCTGTAAAAAGAGATGCCATTCTCCCTATTTTTTATCTTAATTCTCCACACGATTCTAGAATAGCATTCTGACCATTAGGATATCAGGTTAAGCAGAGTTCTTACACAAGGCCTAAAATAAGTGAATAGCCTCAAATTATCATAATTTGGACACAGTTTGCAATATCCTATCTCTCTTGGCCAACCTATGGAACTAGGAATGGTAGAAGGAAAGAGGAGAGGAGAAGGACCAGGAATAAGATAAGCAGCAGCCTCAGATAATAGTGGTGTTGATGAAAGGCCAGGCTGAGGATGGATCATCCTGGAGAAAGTCTGTCTCTGTGGTTGCTAAGAGTCAGCACTGACTTGGTGACACATAATCAATCAATCAACCAATCAACCAATCAATATTTGCTCTGGCTATCCATAGTTGGTTTTCAGTTAAATTAAATTCAATTAAACCCATCCATAGTGGTTTTCAATTAAATTTCAAACATATTTGAATTTCTTCAGCTGCATTTTTTCTCTCAACCTAACAGGATAACAAAGTTGGAAGGGACCTTGGAGGTTTTCTAGTCCAACCTCCTGCTCAAGCGGAAAAACCCTGTACCATTGCAGGAAGATGGTTATCCAATATCTTTTTTTAAACTTTCAGTATTGGAGCTTCCACAACTTCTAGAGCAGGGGTCCCCAAACTTGGCAACTTTAAGACTTGTGGATTTCAACTCCCATAATTCCTGGCTGAGGAATTCTTGGAGTTGAAGTCCACAAGTCTTAAAGTTGCCAAGTTTGGAGACTTCTGTTCTAGAGAGAAGTTGTTCCATGGATTAATTGTTCTAACCGTAAGGACATTTCTCCTTAGTTCTAGGTTCTCTCTTGGTTCTCTCCTTCATCCTTTCTCGTTCACAACTGACTTTGCTTCATAGTTCCATCAAGCAACATGTTTCTTGGCTCCCATTGATATAACTACATACCCTTTTAGAACAATAATCTTCCCACATTTTTCCAAATGGCCCTTTTCCTTATATTCACTTTCCATTCCTTCTATCGGAGTAAGGAGAAATTTTCTGAAAGTTAGAACAATTCATCAGTGGAACAACTTGCCTCCAGAACTTGTGAATGCTCTATCACTGGAGCTTTTAAGAGGAGATTGGACATCCATTTGTCTGAAATGGTATATACTATGGGGTCTCCTGTCTGAGAAGTGGGTTGGACTACTTCCAAAGTTCCTTCCAACTCTGTTATTCTGTTATTAATCTAAGCTTTGAATATTTTTCTACAGGATTTATACTTTCGCCTTGACAGTCCTTACTATTTTCGTTCTATTTTTTATTCCTTTCTTTATCTCCTATGTCAATATCCCCTTTTAATATTACATTGAGGGTATCATCATTCTTGTGACACCTTTGTAGCACCTGCAGGTATTTGCTCACATTAATTCTACCTCTTTCTGCAATCGACGTTATTTCTTCATTGTGGTTTTAGGGCCGCACAGCTACAGTTGAAACCTAACTACCCTGGTTTCACAAGATGCCTGTATACCATATTTGGTATAGGAATATTTCCTCTTTTCCCCTCTTTAATCCCACCCCCAATTCAACAGAGCTCTATATAATCATTTCAATGGCACCCTGTAAATCGAAGCTATTCCTGAAGAAAGTGGTAACTATCACTCAAGACAGGATTACAACTGGGTAAGTTAAAGATTGACTTTTAAACTCAAGCATCCCCAACCTGTATCTATGCCTGTAACTACTTATTTATTCTCTCAGGAAACTGAAATTAATTTCATCACAGATAAATTACAGGTAGTCCTTGACCTATGTTCCCAATTGAGTCCAAACTTTATGCTGTTAAGTGAGACATTTAAGTGAGTTTTACCCCATGTTACAACCTTTCTTGCCATAGTTGTTAAGTGAATCATTACAGTTGTTAGTAAAACTGTTGTTAAGTGAATCTGGCTTCCCCATTGAAGGTCGCAAATGGGGACCACATGACCCTGGGACACGGCAACTGTCATAAATATGAGTCAGTTGCCAAGCGTCTGAATTTTGATCATGTGACCATGGGGATGTTGCAATGGTTGTAAACATGAAAAATGGTCATGTCCCTTTTTTCAGTGCATCGTAACTTTGAACAGTCACTAAACGAACTGTTGTAAATCAAGGACTACCTACATTCTATTTTAATTCCACTAGGTGACCACTAGATGTCAGCAGAAAGGTGTAGAATCTCTCTTTGAAGTAGTCATCCAGATTTTTACACCCAGATGTGGTAACTTTAAACATGGAAAATCCAAACACAAACATAAGTGAAAAGACATCAAAATGTATTTTTAAAAAATGGGTGAAAGTATCTCCCAGTTGTATGCAGCACTTTCTCTATGCAAGATGGCATGGCATTACTGAAAGCATTTTTTTCTCACTTTTGTATTCTTCCTTTTTTCTACCCAATGATATGTACATACTATCTAAATCATTTTTTAATGCTTCCTGAAACTCTTGCTCCAAATCGATGTTGATTTGGATCAAGTTGATATTTGGGAGGGCGATTACAAAAAAAATCTCAAACCTATTATCTAGGCTGGAAATTGTGAACTTGGCTTCCTTGATATGTCTACATGGTTTTGTAATGGCCTTAACTGTGTCCCCTTTTTTTACTTTATAAGTTTACAGAGAGAAATTAAGGGATATTGATTATTCAGTATGAAATCTTTCTGATATTTTGATCTTTTACATATTCCAAATTGTTGTAAGTGGACTAGAATTGCAAATTTCATGAGCATGCCCTAAAATTTCACAAGTAAATGGAGCTGCTCCCCCAGTGGTGTGATTAAAAAAATGTTACCATCAGTTCTGTGGGTGTGACTTGGTGGGCATGGCATGGCTTGGTGGGCGTGACTTGGTGGGCAGGGCTTGGTGGCGTGGCAGGGGAAGGATACTGCAAAATCCCCATTCCCTCCTCACCCCACTAACCTGCTTTCCAGCTCCATTCCCCTGTGCAGGGCAACCAAAGAAGACCCAGCCAATCAGCTGGGACTCAGGAGGCAGAGAATAGATGGGGACGTAGCCAGTCAGAGGTGGTATTTGCTGGTTCTCTGAACTACTCAAAATTTCCGCTACCGGTTCTCCAGAACCGGTCAGAACCTGATGAATACCACCTCTGTGCTCCCCAAATAAGGCAATAACAATTCATTTGCATACTGTTGCCCCCTTCCCAAAAAGTTATAAACTCCCCAGAAATTGAACTCCATTTATTGAGCATTTACTCTTACCTGTGGTGTTCTTGGTGCTGTCTGACCTTGGTTGTTTGGTTGCAAGTCAGTGTGGAGTTTGCTGCCTGTTTATATACATGGTAGCTTTCCCTACAAGTTTTGGTGGGGTTTCTCCATACTTGGAAACCACACCCCTTCTAGCCAAGGAGGAAAACACCCAATTCCTCCCCACCCTCACCCAATCACTGGCAGGGTGAGCTATTGTATATAAACAGGGAACAAGCCCCACACTCCCTTGCACTGATGGTGTAACCTAGTTGGGTAATGAAACATTTGCATGCACACAGTCAAACTTAGGAAGCGCTCAGAATTCCACAGTTCAGCCCTGAGCTGCAGATATTTTTTTCTACTTTTCCTTACCTTTATGTAAAAGAACAGCAAAATAAGATGAGGATTATCCAGTGTAAGCTTAACAGAGTGGTTCCTTTACATGAGGAATAGTTTACATTGAAAAAAAAAAATAACAATGTGTTTTAATGCCTCATTGAAACGTATAGTACCTTGAAACAGGTAGATCTACTCTCATTTTTATGCTTGCAGTTTCTTAGTTCTTCTTTTCTTCCTCTTACTTTCTTCCTCTTCCCCTTCCTTTTCTTATCTTCCCTCTGGGCCATTTCTACAGATCCAGATATCCCATCATGACCATCTTCAGATTGCTCCTCCAGCTGGTTGTTCTTCTTGGGGCTCTGCTGGTGCACTCTGGAGAAGCCGCAACTTTCCGAAGTTTTGCTAACAGCCACATTGATTTTCCCAAAACCGGAGCCAATAATCCAAATGCCTACTGTAATTTGATGATGCAGAGAAGGGGGCTGAGTCGAGGAAGGTGCAAACCCAGCAACACTTTTATCCATGCCTCTAACAACAATGTCATAGCAGTTTGCCGAGGTGCCGGAACTCGCCATCAAAGGAATTTGTTCGACAGCAGGAATAGTTTCTCAGTGACCTACTGTAGAAGCACAGGAAGATACCCAAATTGCAATTACAGGGGACGTTCTATGAACCGGAGGGTCCGCCTGGGCTGTGTCCGCAGGTTGCCTGTTCACTTGGCGCGACTTATATAACAGGTGGTGTATAACATGCCACCTGCAGAAGCTCAAGGATGT